CCCGCCACAGTACTCGGCTTTTTTTTTTTGCGATGAGGTTTCACTTTGACTGAGGCTGGTCTCTAACCCGTGAGCTCAGGCAATCCACCTGCTTCAGTGTCCCAAGTGCTAGGATGACAGGTGTGAGCCACCGTACCCAGCCTTTTAAATTTTATTTATTTTAATTTTTTTTGATGATGAACCCCCTCCATAAGTGGGGTTACCTGATTAGGGACCCAGTTGGTGGCCCTGTACTTGTTTTAGATTTTGTAAATAATAGAATTTTAAAAATAGAATAAACTGTCTCGGCACCCGTAGCACAGTGGTTATGGGGCCAGTCACATACACTGAGGCTGGCGGGTTCGAATCCAGTCCAGCTCAGCTAGAACAACAATGACAACTGCAACAAAAAAAATAGCCAGGCGTTGTGGTGGGCACCTGTGGTCCCTGCTACTGGGAGGCTGAGGCAAGAGAATCACTTAAGCCTAAGAGTTTGAGGTTGGTGTGAACTGTGACACCCCGGCATTCTACCAAGGGTGACATAGTAAGACTCTGTCTCAAAAAAAAAAAAAAAAAGAATAAACTTACTTGATGAGTTTTGAGTAATACATTAGTGTGTTTTACAGAGGGAAGTTTCTAATAAAATGAAAGGGCAGTTTGTTACACATTAAGCTTTCAAAAGTTTCTGTTAATAGAGAATTAAGTAGGAAAATACATACTTTTCAGTATCCACATTTTCAAAGTATTAAAAATTCTATTCAATTATTAGCATAATATAAACTTGAGTATACAATATCTGTGTCTTAAAGATACATGGTGAATGGAGAAGTAAAAGGCTTTTCAGGCCAGTTGCATTGGCTTACATCTGTAATCCTAGGACTCTGGGAGACTGAGTTGGGTGAAATGCTTGAGCTTAGGAGTTTGAGTCCTACCTGAGCTAGAGGGAGACCCATCTCTACTAAAAACAGAAAAATTAGTGGGGCATTGTGGCACATACCTTAGTTCCAGTTACTCTGGAGGTTGAGGCAGGAGGAGCAATTTAGCCCAGGAGTTAGAGGTTGCAGTAAGCTATGAAAAACAAAGGCTTTTCATATCTAGTTAATTTCTGGTGTTTTAAAATTCTTGTTATTACAGCTTTTTACTCTGTATCTATGTAAAATAAGCATTTAGAGTAGAATGATGGAGTATAAAGAATAAAAAGGAAATTTGTGCTTTTGTGACATTAGGTAGGCAAAGGCTGATTAGGAAGAGGAAATAAGCCTGAAGTATGTGTATTTGTGCCTTTTCACCATCACTGTTGTGAAAATTGTATTGCATTGGAAATTCATCTGATCTCTTAAATTCTTGTAGATATGTGGATAATTGTTGGAATTTAATGAGGAATATGTAGGGTTCATTTTGCTCTTCTCTCTACATTTGTGTATGTTTGAAATTTTCTATAATGTAAAAAAAAGCCCCTCATGAATGAACCTGCTAACACATGGTATTTCTTTTATTTTTTGTTCCATTAGCATAGTTTTGTGATATTGCTTAGTTAGATCACTAGCAACTATCTAGAGCAGTGGTTCTCAACCTGTGGGTTGCGACCCACAGGAACTGTATTAAAGGACTGCGACATTAGGAAGGTTGAGAACCACTAATCTGGAGTTTAATTAATTTCTAGAGCTAGGCTCTTTCATGCTTGTGTTTCTGATGGGGGACATACTCTTTTTACGAGAGGAGTGCTTTTTTATATGCTTTTTTGTTCTTTTTTCTCTTTTTAGACTGTACATTTTATGTAGGTATATCTCTGAAATTAATATTTGAAAACAGCATGAAATGCCCTTTTTTCCTGTGAAAAAATACTGAGCCAGTGTTTCACTTTGTGCTTAACAAGATTGTTGTGTTTGTACTAATCTGCTAGCTACTTCCTGGCTTCCTTCCTTGAGTAAGAAAGTGTTAGATTTCATATCATACAGGATTTTGCATAGAGTATGCTTTAAAGATATTTTTAGAACCATTTTCAAGAAGAGCTAAGACATTTGAACATAAATATTTAAATATAATGGGGAGAGGAATCTGCAGCCTTCTAGATCCTTAAGTGGCATTTTTGACTGAACCCAAATTTTATGAAACAAATTTGATCTTTTTTTTTTTTTTTTTTTTTTGAGACAATCTCAAACTGTTGCCCTGGGTAGAGTGCTGTGGTGTCACAGCTCACAGCAACCTCAGATTCTCAAATTCTTGGGCTTACACGATTCTCTTGCCTCAGCCTCCCATGTAGCTGGGACTACAGGCACCTGCAACAACTCCTGGCTACTTTTAGAGAACGAGTTCTTGCTCTGGCTCAGGTTGGTCTTAAACTCGTGAGCTCAGGCAATCCACCTGCCTCCTCCTCCCAGAGTCCTGAGATTACAGGCGTGAGCCACGATGCCCTGCCCTGACAGTATGTCTTATTAACTTGGTACAGAGCCTGATGTAATATTTGTTGAATTTAATTAAAGGTTTGTCTGTTCCTCAAGGTACTTGTCTTCACAGTGCTCTCACATCTGAAATATGGCTACGGATTGGCTTGGCAGTATTGTGTCCATCAACTGTGGAGATAGCTTGGGTGTCTATCAGGGAAGAGTGTCAGCAGTAGATCAGGTCAGCCAGACCATTTCTCTCACCCGGCCTTTCCATAATGGAGTGAAGTGTCTTGTGCCAGAAGTCACATTCAGGTGAGTGTGCTGACTAATTCCTCCAAATCCAACCTGGTGATCTATGGAGCTTAAACCTAGGTCTGATTGCCAGCATTGTTTTGCTTCAGGCTTCTTTTGATTAAAGTTTTGTCAGGCATGAGATTTTTGCAGTCTAGTCCTGATACTAGTCTCAGCAGAGACTTTGTGTTATAATTAGCTTTCAGCCAGTGATTCAGAATTTGTGAGAACTTTTTATTATTTGAATAGGTCAAAACAGAATAGCCTTTTTTTCTTAAATTATTACAGTTTTATTTTATTTTTTTTTATTGAGACAGAGTCTCATTTTGTCACCCTCAGTAGAGTGTAGTGGCATCATAGCTCACAATAACCTCAAATTCTTGGGCTGAAGAGTTCTCTAGCCTCAGCCTCCCTAGTAACTGGCACCTGCCACAACGCCTGGCTTTTTTGTTTGTTTGTTTTGTTTAGCATGGCCAGGCTGGGTTTCGAACCCACCAGCTCTGCATGGTGCATGTGGCTGGCTCCCTAGCCACTGAGCTATGGGCACCCAGCTACAGTTTTATTTTAAATTTCAAAATTAGTTACTTCATATTCTTGAGACAAAATTTAAATCATATATATAAAAACAGAGATAAACATAGTTATCTTGACAAATCCCGAGACAATGTATGTATTTAAACCAAGTTTCTTTATATTTATTTATCTATTTATTTATTTTTGAGACAGGAGCCTCCAGCTGTCCCCCTGGGTAGAGTACTATGGCATCACAGCTCACAGCAACCTCCAACTCCTGGGCTCAAGTGAGTCTCCTGCCTCTGCCTCCCAAGTAGCTGGGTCCACAGGTGCCTGCCACAACGCCTGGCTATTTTTTATTTTTGGTTGCAGCCATCATTGTTGTTTGGCGGGCCTGGGCTGGATTTCAACCCTCCACCTTAGGTGTATGTGGCTGGCGCCTTAGCCACTTGAGCCACAGGCACCAAGCCCATCCTGGCTAATTTTAAAAAAAAAATTTATAGGCCAGGCAGTAGTCAATCCTGTAATCCTAGCATTCTGGGAGGCCAAGTGGGTGGATTGCCTGACCTCTGGAGTTTGAGACCTTGTCTCTAAAAACTTACCAAGGGTGGGCGGGCACCTGTGGCTCAGTCAGTAGGGTGCCAGCTCCATATACCGAGGGTGGTGGGTTCAAACCTGGCCCCAGTCAAACTGCAACAAAAAAATAGCCATGTGTTGTGGTGGGTGCCTGTAGTCCCAGCTACTCAGGAGGCTGAGGCAAGAGAATCACCTAAGCCCAAGAGCTGGAGGTTGCTGTGAGCTGTGACGCCACGGCACTCTCTTGAGGGCGATAAAGTGAGATTCTGTCTCTAAAAAAACAAAACAAAACTTACTGAGGGCGACAAAATGAGACTGTGTTTCAAAAAATTTTTTTTCTTGTAAGGGCCAGGCATGGTGGCTCAATACCTGTAATCCTAGTACTCTGAGAAGTTGAGGCAGGTGGATTGCTTGAGCTTAGTAGTTTAAGACCAGCCTGAGCAAGAATGAGACCCTATCTCTACTAAAAATAGAAAAACTAGCTGGGGTTGGTGGTATATACCTGTAGTCCAAGGTACTCAAGAGGTTAAGGCAAAAGGATTGCTTGAGCACAGAGCTATGAGCTATGATGATGCCATGGCACTCTACCCAGGGTGACAGAGTGAGACTCTTTTTTCTTTTTTTGAGACAAGAGTCTCGATGAGTTACTCAAGGTATTCTTTTTTTTTTTTTTTTAACAATTTCAAAAGTTTATTTCCTTAAATTGGTATTACATAATGCAAAAGGGCAAGGATCACACAAAATTTGTTTTAAAATAGACAGAGGGTCTTTCATGTACTCAGGCTATCCTTAACTTCTGGCCTCAAGGGATCCTCCTGCCTTGACCCCCAAAGTGCTGGGATTATAGGTATGAGCCACTTCTCCCACCTGTCCACAAGATATGTTAAATTCAAGATTTTTAGAGCTGCTCTCAATATGTTCACCTGCAGATTTCTTTCTGCAAAGGTCTCCCCATTATTGGTGACTAATGCACCTTTCCTCTAAGACTAGAATTATAGGAATCATAATGAACTTTAGTCTTTGTGTTCATTTAGTTACCAAATCCTGTGGATTCTAAATGTCTCTTAGTCTAGTCTCCCTTTTCATTGTCACTTGCCCAGTCAGCCTCTCTTATTTCTTACTTGGGGTGTTCCTGTCTCTAGTTTTCTCTACTTTTCTTACAGTCACCAAAAAAATCTATTGAGATCATGATCCAGCTCCTGGTTATCTCTGTAGTTTTACTTCCTGATGGCTCTCCATAAGCACCCTGCTGTTCAGTAGCATAGCATTTGCAGTCCCTCATGTGGGCCACATTTTCCACATTATCTCAGTCTGAACCTCTGCCTGAGATGCCTTTCTCCCTACTGTTCTGCTGGACCAACTCTTACTTCTTTGTCCCTGGCCAGACTAAGCTTAAATCTTGCATCCATCTCCACCAAACTAAAGTATGGGCTTCCTGGTCTCCTATATATACCTCTGTCATTGCATTTAAGACTCTCCTTTGATTGTGTGCTTTTCCACTGATCAGACTGTGAATTCTTTATGGGTCCATACTGGTTTTCATTTCTATACCCCCTATTCTAGCACAGGGCTTACTATGTGGTAAGTATTATTAAGTGAGGGTTATATATATGCCTATTGACTGAGCAAGTGAGTGAAAAAATGAAAAACAAAAGCCATTAAATGTTCTGGATATTGTAAGATTATAACATACCCCGTAAGCTGCCTTAAATTTGAGCTATCTTTGTTTTGTTATTAACAACAGTATCTTTTTAAAGGTACTGTGTCAGTTGGATGTTGGCAGCTGAGCCCTGTCTTTAAGTATACAGCTGCCTATTCTAGTTTTTGCCTCTGATATTGAAATGCAATCCTACAAAGGGATAGCTGTTTCCTATTGATCCAATTTTCATTGTTCCTGTCACTATTATAATTTTGAGATGGGGACTCATTTATGTATTTCAGGGCAGGTGACATTACAGAATTAAAAATTTTGGAGATACCAGGTCCTGGAGACAACCAACATTTTGGAGACCTTCATCAGACAGAATCAGGCCCTTCTGGCATTGGATACCAAATGGGTATCAATCAGAATGGTACAGGCAAGTTGGTCAAGAAGCCAGCCTCTTCCAGCAGTGCCCCTCAGAGCATTCCTAAGAGGACAGATGTGAAAGGCCAAGATGTTGCCATTTCCCCGCAGCAGCAACAGTGCTCAAAGAGCTACGTGGACAGGCACATGGAATCCTTGAGTCAGTCCAAAGGTTTCCGCCGTCGACACAACTCCTGTAAGTAGGGTCAAGGTGATATTTCTTCTTAACTTCATGTCTCAGGGCTGTTAATGCTTGTCTACTGCTTCTCATTAACAAGTACTTTATTACTCTAATAAAAAGGATGCTGGCAGAGCTTCACAAAAATGTAGCATGGTTCTTTTATTCCTGTCCTTACTGGCACATCAAGGAGAGCATGCACTGGTGTGTGTTACTGCCGGGTTTTGTGTGGAACTAACATTATTGAATGCCATTGGTTGATTATAGACCATAGTTAACCTCTTCTGCTCTTTAACATTTTCACTAGAATAATGTTACAGCAAATTGTAACAGATTCTAGAAAATCTGTTGTGTTCCTTAAATGAATGTAAGTGTTCTCTTAAAAAGTTGCTTCTAGGCTCGGCGCCTGTGGCTCAAGCGGCTAAGGCACCAGCCACATACACCTAAGGTGGCGGGTTCAAATCCCCAGCCCGGGCGTGCCAAACAACAATGATGGATGCAACCAAAAAATAGCTGGGCATTGTGGCGGGCGCCTGTAGTCCCAGCTACTTGGGAGGCTGAGGCAGGAGACTCGCTTGAGCCCAGGAGTTAGAGGTTGCTGTGAGCTGTGATGCCATGGCACTTTACCCAGGGGGATAGCTTGAGGCTCTGTCTCAAAAAACAAAAAAAAGTTGCTTCTAAATGATAAACTATTGACAAAAGTTTTTACTTAGATGGTTTTGTACTTCGAGAAAATGGCAGAATATATTAAGAATTTTAAGTGAGTATTAAGTCATATGCAGTCCCCAATATCACCCTACTGCCCAGCAGGAGAGGAGGCAAAGCTTCATCTATAGTCAAAGCTGCTCTCCATTGTAGGCATCACTGCCTGAGCTCTGCCTCCTGTCAAATCCACTCCCCAACTAGTCCCTGGAAAAATTGATTTCCATGAAGTTGGCCTTGGTGGCAAAAAGGGGATTACTGAGTTAGAGTAGGCATTACTTTCTAAAAGTCAGATCTTTAAAGTGAATTAGGTCTCTCTAGAACTACATTCAAGGAGTTTATTATAAAAAATTCCAGATATTTCTTGGTGTCATTGTTACATCTCAAACTGTGGTCCCAGTGACATTGTAGTGAGGCTTTGGTGTGCTGTTTATAACATCTGTGTCAGGTGCTAACATTTTAAGTTTTGGAAATAACCTGATTCAAATGAATAAAACAATTGAAATTAAAAGTTTTTTTAGAAAACTATATTTTAGGACCTTTTTTTTTTCTTTTTTTGAGACAGAGTCTCATTATGTTGCTCTTGATAAAGTGCTGTGACATCACAGCTCACAGCAACCTCAAATTCTTGGGTGTAAGCAGTTCTCTTGCCTCAGCCTACCAAGTAGCTGGGACTATAGGTGCCCACCGCAACGTCTAGCTATTTTTTCATTGTAGTTGTCATTGTCATTGTTTGGCAGGCCCAGGCTGGGTTCGAACCCTTTAGCTCCCATATATGAGGCCAGCACCCTAGCCACTGAGCTACATGTGCTGAGCCTCAAGACCGTTTCTTTCAGTGCATGAGAAGCCACTGTCAGAATTGACAATGACTGAAAACTTGAGACTGAAATTCACTTGTTACTTCTTTTGTATCCATAGAAAAACTAGAATGCCTGGATAAAAAATGACTCTTTCTGCTTATACTTTAGCCTTCTCTGTTTTGCTTTATTCTCTCCCTAAAAAAAAAAAAAAATAGTTTTCTTTGCCAGAAATCAACTTGTTTGTTAAAAGTTCAAATATTTGACTCGTCACCTGTGGCTCAAGTGGCTAAGGCGCAAGCCACATACACCTAAGGTGTCGGGTTTGAATCCAGCCTGGGCCTGCCAAACAACGACGGCTGCAACCAAAAAATAGCCAGGCATTGTGGCGGGCGCCTGTGGTCCCAGCTACTTAGAAGGCGGAGACAGGAGACTCGCTTGAGCCCACGAGTTGGAGGTTGCTGTGAGCTGTGATGCCATGGCACTCTACCCAGGGGGACAGCTTGAGGCTTTGTCTCAAAAAAAAAAAAGTTCAAATATTTAAGCAGTTTATAATCTTCTATGCATTTGGAGATGATCCTTATTAGTAATTTATATTTTTCACCTATTATTAACATCTTATATTGTCATAGTGGATTGGTTACAATTAATGAACCAACACATAATACATTGTTATAAAATAATGTTTATATTTTATTCAGATCACCTTAGTTATTACCTGATGTCTTTGTTCTAGGATCCCATCCAGCATACTACATTACATTTAGTTATGTCTCTGGCTGGCTCTGACAGTTCCTTGGATGTTCTTTGTTTTTGATGACCTAGAGAGTTTCTTGAATTTTTTTTGTTTTTTGCCCTGATCTAGATAGTTTAGATGAGTACCATGCTTCTTAGTTGGTATTTGTCTGACATTTTTCTCATGATTAGACTGGGGTTTTATGTTTTTGGAAGGAAGACCACAGGTGTAAAGTACCATTTTCATTGCATTTATCTAGGGTATGTAATATCACCATGGTTTATGACCTTGATCACTTGGCTGAGGTAGTGTTTGTCAGATTTCTTCTCCATAAGGTGACTCTTTCTTTCTCCTTTACATACTATACTGTTTGGAAGGAAGTCACTATATGCAGCCCGTACCCAAGGAGTGAGGAATTATGCTCCCTCTCTCTCTCCTTGAGGGCACACCATCAACATAAATTACTTAGAGTTCTCTTGCACCAAAAATTTATCTCTTCTCCCAGCCTGAGCAACATAGTGAGACCCCCATCTCTACCAAAAATGAAAAAATTAACCAGGGGTGTGGTGGCACACTCCTGTAGCCCCAGATACTTGGAAGGCTAAGGCAAGAGGATCAGTTGACTCCAGGAGTTTGAAGTTGTTGTGTGGTATAATGACACCACTGCACTCTAGCCTGGGTTTGTTTATTTAGTCAGTTGTTTGTTTATGTCAATATGGACTCATGCTATTTATTTTATGCTTTGGCTTATAATTCAGTATTATTTTATTTTGGTACTTCATTGGTCTTTCATTGGGAGTTCTTTTGTTTGGTGCTCCCTCCCTTCCCCCATGTCCTCTGTTTGTTTGTTTGTAGACAGGGTCTTGCTGCTGTGTCGCCCAACCTGGAATGCAGTGCTTATTTGGATCTCTCACCCAATTCATAGACTTGTTTCATATATTTATAATTCAGTTAGATTATTTTGTCAACATTTTGTATCCATCCCGATATCCCCTTACCTCTTAAATGATTTCTTTTTTTTTTTTT